AAGGCAATTAAATTCCATGTGCTATACATTATAAAAACTTAATACTTATGTAACTACAGTAATCACGTCGCACTTAAAGTTCAATCGTTATTCAAAACTAAGATTTCAGTCACTAATGATCACAATATATTATCATCTTGTCGCATATGAAACTTCAAAAATCCTTTACTAGTATTTGTTTACTACTAAACTATAAAATAAATTTAAAAAGATGAGTAAAACAAGGTAAAATTCAAACAAGTTCTTAGCGCCTTTTTTATTATGGGTCTGAAGTACACAGCGACATCTGTGCCAAGCTTTGCATAAACAATCTCATTCACAACGTTGCCACCATTTTTCTTATCACGCTACAAAGGAGGTTTTTAACATAAAAGTTGCCTACACTTTGTGTGAGTGGTGTGATCCATAAATTGTCCTGTCCTGAGTCTGTGTGTCATGTGTGTCCAATTTGTAAACGCACCAATGACACAGAAGAAAACCCTAGAGAGAGAAAAAAAACAGGAACGTCGAAGAAGTTGTCATCAAAAACTATCCATAAATTGCCCTCAAACTAATAAGTAGAAAGAAAAAGCAAAGAAGAAAGAAAAAGCATTTATTTGGGAAATGGCACACAAACAAAGATTATGAAAAATAAAGATACAGATACTTATATAAATACATAATAAAAAATCATTAAAATATAACAAAATAATTTACATAGGTACAATACAAAACAAATGCAATAAGTTTTTGATATAAAAAAATAAATATACAAAAAAAAACTAAACGTAAATAATATAATAACTAATACTATAAGTAAGTTATTATAATGTAGGTACATCCATACTTACTTAATTCATTGTAATTTTATGAGCTGTACAGCTGCCCACGCGCTATTCTCTCGAAGCGATTGGAAGGAAGCAACGCAATTACTAGATGTGGCAAAAACCTGATTTGCAATAAAAAAATGTCACCAAATGTCTATTGATTGCATATAATTATGCAATTATTAATAGCTAGACGAAGTGTGTTTATAACTTTGGTCAGAAACAACAACTAAATAAATTGGGGGATTCATTTATTCAAATAAAAAACTTTTAAAATAAAAAATTAAAAACTAACTATTACTTAAAAAAATTAAAACTAAATATTACTAAAATAAATACCTACATACAACTTAAGATTAAAATTAATTTTAAGAAAAAACAAAAACAACTATTTACATAAAGCGTCGAAAAATTCGTCCGTAAATAAATTATTATGTTTTCGGCTTTCTCACGAGGAACTCGACTAGTTACAATCCACTAGACGAAAAATTCTGCTTATGAATATGTGCCTGTGTAAAAACATATGTAAAAATACATATCCAAAAGTACAATCTAAGATTAAAACCTGTTCATGGCGGAATGGCAGCAACGACTGTCGCAACCGAGGGCTGGGCTCGCTGCCATCGCAGCTGTAAGTCCCCTCTTTGACGAGTGGCTTGAGAGACGCTACGGCGACCGCCTGACGCAGGTCCTCACCGGACATGGAAGTTTCGGGAGGTACCTGTGTCTGATGGGGCGGGAGGAAACGCCCGGGTGTCATCACTGCGAGGACCGCTCTGAGGACACGGTGGAACACACTGTAGCGGAATGCCCTGCGTGGGCTGAGCACCGCCGTGCCCTCAGGGAAGTAATCGGCGATGGCGACCTCTCGCGTCCGGGCCTAGTGTGGGCTATGATGCGGAGCGAGGGGGACTGGGATGCCGTCTCCTCCTTTTGCGAAGCAGTCATGCTAGCTAAGGAGAAGGCGGGACGCGTGAGGCAGCGAAGCGCTGCCTCCTCGCAACCCAGTCATCGTGAAGGACACACCGGGCGTCGGGGATCGCGAGACGATCTCCGGCCACTGTAAGCGCGGGCCTGCGGACGGCAAGCATGGGTGGCTCCCCGTCCGATCAGAAACAGACCCGAGCGTACGGCGCGTCGCATTCCGCGCGCGCCTCAAAGAGCCATCAGACCACCACAGATGGGGCCCAATAGGGCCGATGCCGATTCGAAGTCGCGGAGAACCTAACGGGTAACCGGGGCTCCGGCTCGACGTGCAGGAGAAGGTGGTTTTTAGTCAGTAAGAATCTGACACTTCCTTCCGCCTCACCCAGGCGGGATTAGTCATTCGATGATTTTCCCCCCTTAAAAAAAAAAAGATTAAAACCTGTTTTATGGGAGAAGCCGGTAAATAATCACCTGATGGTAAGCAATCGGAGCGAGAAACATAAGCACTTGTGGCCGGCCTTTTGGGGATTAGGAATTGGAGGACTGTTGGAGATTCGACGATTGGGGATAATTGATCCTCTGGTAACCTCACTCACGCAACGAAACACAACGTAAGCGTTATTTCACGTCAGTTTTCTGCTGGCCGTGGTATCACTCCGGTCGAGCCGGCCCATTCGTGCCGAAGCATGGCTCTCCCACACTAAAGTCTATGACAATGACAAGGAAGAATATCAAGAATTATTGACATACAAAATAACAATTTTATTGTTTAATTATAAATTTAAAACAAAACATCACACTGACACGTATTAACCCGATGAAAATTGTTGAAAATCATCCCCTAAATTTGTTCATACAAAAGTAGTCTCTAAACATTGGAAATAAGGTCTATAATGTAGTTAGTGGAGAGCGGTCACCGGTGACCGCTTGGGGATATATGGGTAACACTCTTTATGTTAAAGTAAAACAATTCTTTTCTAAACACCATTTAAAAAAAAAACCGCTTTCAACCCCATCTTTTTTAAAGTCGGTTACCTACTAAATTAATATACTAAAACCTTCTCCTTAGTGTAAAAAACACTATTATGAAAACCGCGTCAAAATCGATTCAGCCCATCGTGAGGTAATCTTGCACAAACATACATAGATATATCTACATACATACAGGTCACACTGAAAACCTTCTTTTTTATTTCAAAGATGGTTTTGATCACAAACCTTTTTTTCAAATGAAACAAGTGAATTTATTTCTGCAAATAGGCTACAAGGCATCACTTTTACACGTCAATTTTATCAAGCGGACGATGAGGTCGACATTTCCTAACTGGCTACTCTGAGAAGAAATGCCGAAACAAACTCAAAGGTCTGTCTCTTTTAAAGTCCAGACAATATGTATAACAGATTATGTGTGAGAACCCGTGCAATTTCTTTCCGTAGTGGCCTTTTGAGGAAAGAACCACAACAGTTTGAGCGGACCCGTTCTGAAGGCAGTACGCATGTGTCAGTTTACAGTCGGCTCAATTAACAGGTGAGGCTGACTGATTCGACGAAAAATACCAACCTAAAGAACATTTGCGTAGGTCGCACAAATACTCAAACTGTCAGAATATGGGTAATTAGAAAAGAAATGGCGAGGCAAAGTCTCGCACGGTCCTAGCACTAATGTAAGCTGCGTTCAAACGCATCCTCCCCAACCTCGGGGGGCCAAACGCCTCCTGCCGGAGGTTATACGCCGGGGTCGTGCGGTCCATGGCCCTCTACGGCGCCCCTGTTTGGGCGCCAAACTTGTTGCGGCGTCCTGCTCGGACGCTGCTCAAGTCACAGAGGGTCATGGCGATCCGAATGATCCGCGGATACCGCACGATCGCTGGGGAGTCGGCAAACCTCCTTGCCGGATTACCGCCGTGGGATCTGGAGGCGAAGGTGCTCGCGCGCGTGTATAACATGCGCGCGGAGGCACGTCGCCGGGGCGAAACTCCGCTGCCGCGCCAGATAAGTGCGTGGCGGGATGAGCTCCGGCGCGATCTCATGGCGGAATGGCAGCAACGGCTGTCGCAACCGAGGGCTGGGCTCGCTGCCATTGCAGCGGTAAGTCCCCTCTTTGAGGAGTGGCTTGAGAGACGCTACGGCGTCCTCACCTACCGCCTGACGCAGGTCCTCACCGGACACGGAAGTTTCGGGAGGTACCTGTGTCTGATGGGGCGGGAGGAAACGCCCGGGTGTCATCACTGCGAGGACCGCCCTGAGGACACGGTGGAACACACCGTAGCGGAATGCCCTGCGTGGGCTGAGCACCGCCGTGCCCTCAGGGAAGTGATCGGCGATGGCGACCTCTCGCGTCCGGGCCTAGTGCAGGCCATGATGCGGAGCGAGGGGGACTGGGATGCCGTCTCCTCCTTTTGCGAAGCAGTGATGCTAGCTAAGGAGGAGGCGGGACGCGTGAGGCAGCGAAGCGCTGTCTCCTCGCAACCCAGCGTCGCGAAGGACACACCGGGCGTCGGGGATCGCGGGACGATCTCCGGCCACCGTAAGCGCGGGCCTGCGGACGGCGAGCATGGGTGGCTCCCCGTCCGACCAGAAACAGACCCGAGCGTACGGCGCGTCGCGTTCCGCGCGCGCCTCAAAGAGCCATCAGACCACCACAGATGGGGCCCAATAGGGCCGATGCCGATTCGGAGTCGCGGAGAACCTAACGGGTAACCGGGGCTCCGGCTCGACGTGCAGGAGAAGGAACGGGGTGGTTTTTAGTCAGTAAGAGTCTGACACTCCCTTCCGCCTCACCCAGGCGGGAGCAGTCATTCGATGATTTTCCCCCCTTAAAAAAAAAAAAAAAAAAAAAAAAAGCACTAATGTAAAATAAAAAGTAAATGTCAAGTTCTAACAATATATAAAAAAATTCAAATGAAACATAATAAGTATCACATTAAAACTTCGGTCTATATTCGTAAAACTCCCCTAAAAAAAAAACATTATTCTCCTATCACTTTCACTTTTCTTAAATCAGAGACCATGAATTTAAAAAAATCGTGTATTAAAAAAATAATAATTCGAAATTAGAATTTGAATCTCGACCACTCAGGGACCGCTATTGAAACATGACTTAAAGCATAAATTAACAGAAGGTTATAAATATAAGTCCACTGGCCATTTTTAATAGTTGCCATAAACATTCCGTATCAAAGAGGTCAAGACAAAAAAAAATTCCATTTTCAAATTTAAGTTGACGAAAATAGAACGTGTTGTGTTTACATTTTATTGGTTTTAAAGATGGCGGATTTGGGGTCGAACCTCGTATTGCAAAGGCCCCCGGGCGCAATAGAAGCGATTAGAAAAATCCATAATTTGGACAAACCCGGAAGGTTGGAAGAAGCACTAAATATATTACACGATTGGATTCAAAAACAGCATCACTTGACAAAAAAGGATTTTAGTAAGTACTTCTATTGTTTTAAGGTTTATTTTCGTAAGTTAAACTACTAACACTAAATACATGAATAATTTTGCTCACCAAATTTTATCCATTTTAATTCATTATTAATGGATCATTTCTTATTTTAATTCAGATTTAATTCGGTCCTCGTTTACTTTTATTATTCATTTCTGCTGTTTGTTAGATATTTTAAATATCATTGTCATAGTATGCTTTTAAAGAAACATTGTTTTTCTTCTTTTTTATAATAATAATACCTACCGGTATTTGACCAATTTGATTTAAAATAAAAAATATACATGAGACTCATAACATAAATAGTGAAAAGTGGGTGTTATATTGTACAGTGGTATAATGTACACCTCTGCCTTCCCCTTCGGGGATAAAAGGCGTGATGTTATGTTATGTTGAATTACTATTATTTGGAGCTAATATCAAAATTCTGTCGACAATATCGTGAGTAAACTGAAAGACAATGCACTATAAATAAAACTAAATAACAATGAAAAACGTAAATTTTTTTTTTTCTTAGGCCCATTCGTCTTAGCAAGGTTATTAATGTAATTATTATGAGAATCTTATCCAAATCAAGTTCATAAGAAACTTGTTTTATTATTATGTATGTACATAAATTATACAATATTAAGTAATAGGTCTGCGTTAGAAGTTATTGTATGATATTCCCCTTTTTTCCCAGTTATTAGTGTAGCACTTTAATTACTTAAGAATTCGTCAAATCGTTCATTAGTTTCAAAGTCTACTTAGTGAAAAGAAACTATGAAATCTTTTATCTTTAAAGTGTTCGTAAATATTAAACAAGTATTGAAGTAATACATTTATAGTAATATTAAAATAGATACTTACCCGAGTTTTATTTATTTTAACTACCTATAAATTTACAAGTCCAAGACTAAACATATAACATCACACCTTTTATCCCGGATGGGGTAGGCAGAGGTGCACACATAAGTAACGCCCACTTTTCACTATTCATGTTATGAGTCCCATGTAATAGAGGGTGAGCCTATTGCCATATACCGGTCACAATTCCAGACTCCGTGCTACCACGGAGGTTTTTTTTAAAACCCAATAATACTTTGCATGACCCGGGAATCGAACCCGAGACCCCTTGCCCGGCAGTCGCACTTGCGACAACTCGGCCAACGAGGCAGTACAGCACTAAAATAGATATCCAATTTGACATCTTGACGTTTTTTGACATTTACTTCAGTGAGTCCTAAGTAAAACATGTATTACTACATCATCATCCCACATACCTATTATTATGTTTTACTCATTTTAAATGTATCTATTGGTTGAAGCTCCTGATAACTTAGCAGATCACCGGGGTTCCAGCTCGAAATAGAAGTAGGAACGGGGTGATTTTTAGTCAGTAAGAGTCTTACACTCTATCTCGTCTCACCCAAGACATCAAGTCATGTCGCGGAGAACCTAACGGGTAACCGGGGCTCCGGCTCGACGTGCAGTAGAAGGAACGGGGTGGTTTTTAGTCAGTAAGAGTCTGACACTCCCTCCCGCCTCACCCAGGCGGGAGAAGTCATTCGTTGATTTTCCCCCCTTAAAAAAAAGACATCAAGTCATTTGATTTAATTCTCGCTTCATAAAAAATACATTATATTTAAATATCCTCTTATAATATCTTCTGATTCACTTCGTTGCGGGAAGCAAAACAGTTGTTCATGTCCCTGGGACGCGCCGGACTTCAGTGTTCCGGTGTTTTCATGGTTGTATCTACTGTAGATCCTGGCTTACAGGAGTTGCAGCGGTTTTGGGAGGATGTGGCGGGCTTGTCCCATAAAAAAATATTTAAATATAAATGCCAAAGTGTGTATGGTCCCATGGACGTTTAATAGGTAGGTACTCTTTTGTGAAAACATACTCCTTCTTTTTATGCTGCCACTTCATTCCTAAAGGTTGGCCGTCAGCTCAGAAAAAATACTCTGGTTCTGATTAAAACTTGACACAGGGGCAGAATATAAATGCTTAACATTTTTTTTGTCTTTTTTTTAACATTGCCCCACACTAGGATTATCTCCTGTGTCGTGGGTGCGTTTACAAACATACAAGTTCACATACACATCACACCCAGACCCGAAACCTATAGATAAGATATCGGTTCAGAGAAGAATAATAATTCTAACTGTGGGAGAGCCATGCTTTGGCACGAATGGGCCAGTTCGACCGGAGTGATAGCACGGCCTCATAGAAAACCGTCGTGAACCATCAGGTGATTCGTCTGCTCGTTTACCAGCTTATACCATAATAAAATCATTTGTAGCAACAAAAATTGCCTGCTTCATAATGCGTCACTGCATAAATTGTCTTTGGACAAGTTTTTTAGTAGGTAGTAGCTGTTAGGTATTCTATTTTTAAGTCAAAGTCAAAGTTATTTAAAACTAGCTACTTACGCGCGGTTTCACTAGCTCTGCTCAGCGCCTATTAATCGTAGCGTGATATTTTATAATCTATAGCCTTCCCCGATAAATGGGCTATCCAACACAGATTTTTTTTTTTAAATTGAACCAGTTGTTTCTGTGATTAGCGCGTTCAAACAAACAAACAAACATAAAAACAAACTCTTCAGCTTTATAATATTAGTTATAATAATAGAATAGAATATTTTATGAAAACGTCAAGTTGCGAGTTTTTATCAGCTTATTTAGTGGTTATGTATATTTACATAAATAAAAATAAATATCAAAATCCATACACACAATGGCTTTTGCCCTGCAGTGAGACGATCATGGCTGAAAACAAAATAAATAATACTACATATGTACAAAATAATAATACACGTTATGTTTATAAAGCTACGATAGCCCACGAATGACAGCACCAAATTCAATAATTATTTTATTAGGATATAAAATAATTACTGGGATTCCGTGCAAAACCAAGACGGGCTGCTTGTCTAAAATACTTAAATAATAACATCTATTTGACTCGTTAAAACTCGAGAATAGTTTTTTTTTAATTAGATAATATAAAAAAAGATGCTAATTAATTGTATTCCATACAAACTTTTTATACAGGGTAGGTATCATTAATCGCTCTGACAAAAAATAATTACATCACATATATTTTCACTTTAAAATAAATAAATGTAAATTTTATAAAATATTATGTTTATTTTGAACCGGTATTAAGTTTGTCTACTCGTTAGGTAACAAGAATTAATAAAAAATTTAGATACCGAGGTACCTAGTTAAGAAATCAACGCTATTACAAGTGGGTTAAGGTTCAAACCGGTTTATAGTGTGATGGCCAAGGTTAAATTTAAGGGAGGTCAAACAAGAACCTCCATGAGATCGCGTCAGCGATGATGAAATACATTAAAGCGATTTAAACATAGCACACCCTATGTTGTCAACCTTGGAATCATGGTGGTTCGTTTCTATTAGCATTCTCTTTCTCAAACATAGCATAAAGGTACAAACACATAACTATGCTTCAATTAACTCCTTAATCCATGATTGTGAAAAATTCAAAACATTTAATACGTCGTTGGCCGAGTGGTCGCAAGTCTGACTGCCGGGCAAGGGTCTCGGGTTCGATTCCCGGGTCGGGCAAAGTATTACTCAGTTTTAAAAAAATTCTCAATACTAGCATGGAATCTGGAATTATGCCTGGTATATGCCAATAGGCTCACCCCCTATTATAAAAAGTGGGTATTACATTGTATTGGCATAATGTGCACCTCTGCCTACCCCTTCGGGGATAAAAGGCGTGATGTTATGTTATATGTCAAAACATTTGTACATACAAAAGTAGTCTCTAAACATCGGAAATAAGGTCTATAATAGAGAGGTTGGAGAGCGGTTTGTTGTGACTTGGTTATATGTGTGTCGGAATCTTGCTTAAAGTACCTAGCATGGCTTTTTCGGGCATGCTTTATTATGGAATAGGAGGCAAACTAGTAGACGCGATCACCTGATGGTAAGCGATCAGCGCCGCCCATGGACACCCGCAACGCAACACCAGGGGCTTTAGTACGAATCGAAACAAGTACGCGTTCGGCGCTGTGATTGGCCGGCTCCAATGAACCAACCAATCAGAACGCCGAACGCAGTCTCGTTTCGATTACTTTAAACCAGGGAAGGCGAACCTTTACACATTGACGTGCCAATTACTTTAACCTTTTGAGCGCCAGGGTCACAAATACGTGACAAGCGAAAACTGTCCCTGAGCGCCAACGACACAAATATGTGACAAAAACAGCGGTACATTAAAACACGAAATAAACTATTTAAATATTACTTTAATGCCTATTTATTTATATACCTGTAAAATAGAAGGTCCAAAATTTATTTATTTCCATAAAACTAATTAAATTGCATTATAAATATTGAGAAATTTTACGTTAAAAAGAAAGAAATAAACTCTGAAAAAAGAATGTCCTCACACGCCAGAGTCATAACTGCGTGACCGCTAGTGATGTAGCGCATGTTGGATAATATCATTATTTCAAATCAAAGATCGATTCGAAACTTTCCTCTGGAATATATTATTTAGGTATAATTTGGTACTAGGATAAAGCAGCATTAATTTTATAAAACCAGTCTTAAAAATCATTCAATAAGCTACATAGTCAAAAATAAAATTTGGTGGGGTCGAATTTCGATATTCACTAATCCCAACTCAAGCGCATCCCTAACGCAACCCGAATTATCAGTACCCTCTACGCCATGGTCACGACTAGACGACAATATCGTGACGTCACAAGCGCGGCGACCAGAAATTAGTGAAGTGAATGAATAATATTTATGATTAATTTACTTGTGATATCGAGTTCAAGATTTATATTAAGTGACTATTATAATGAGTGGGAATTTAATGACTACGGAAGAAGAGCGAGAGTATTTGACTCGAAACTTTTATTCTAAGTGTGGGCTCCATATTTACCTATAACTTCGTGGAATAAAGTCTGCCAAAAGTTCCTTTTTTAGCCACGGTGCGCGCTGAAATCGATTTCACTGTCCCCACCACCCACTTTGCACCCAGCGAATTAGATGATCAGAATGCAGGTTGCATTGTAGATTTTGTATAATTTTGTTCTATTATTCAAAAGATTTATTAGTATAAGACTGATTGGTAATTGTGATAATTATATATAATCGTTAATTGTTTTAATTTGTTACTTTTTATGCCAGGTTTATAGAACTTAATATTTAAAAACATGTATACATAGTACATATTGTATGACATTTTATTAAAATTTTCTATTTTTTCATAGTTTTTATTTACCTTCTTAACCTATTTCAATCATATTCGGAATTATAAATCTGATTTAAAAAACGTGTTTCATTTATTATAAAATAATATTGTACTAGAACATCGATAAACGAGATATTACGTTGCCACATCCTTATTTCGGAAGCGAAGTCATAGTATAAAGAACACAGTAGGTTATCTAAGGCCGCCCGCCGAGTTATTAGCCTACTCTTGCGTTGATCCCCAGGGTTGTCACTTTTACTTTTAGTTAATATTTTCGAACAAGTATACATAGTATTCAGAAAGTAAATTTGGGAATACATTTATATGGAAAAATGCGACTCGGCTACGCTCTTAACAAATCAGATAAACTGTGAAATAAACAATACAATACCACATTTTCTTATAATATTTAAGTATAGTAGGTAATTACATTTCTGGTTGAGTAGGAACTATGAAGAATGATAAGAGTAAGAATAAGTAAGTAGGTATCTCATCATCAAGTACCTACAAATTATATTATGCTAGAAAAAGTGACTAGCTTACCTTTCCTGTTCAATAGGTACCTAATCTGAACAGAGACAGTTCTGGAATCGATTAATTATTAAGACACCCAAACACACAGCAATACGTTCTTCTACGATTATCAGACATTTTTTATTTCATTGAACAGTGCCGAAAAGCCGTGAAGCGCGCGCGAACCTCGTACAGTGTCAGCCCTGCCTGGCGCACTGAGAAACGGGTCGAGATTTTGTTAAAGTGTTCGTGCGTCGACGCATAGATACTATGGCGCACACATATAAGCCGCGCGCGGAGCATTTGTATGAAGATAACCTACTTTGTTCTTTATACTATGGCGAAGTAGTTATTAAAATGGCGGGCCGTCCACGCCATGGTCACAATATGAAGACAGCAGGTCAAGAATAGTGTTGTACCTACAGTTATTATATTTAAATATATTGTAGTCTCATATCTGTTATTACGGTATTATACAAGTCTGTAAATAGTGTATAACTATTACTTTAATAGGAAGAAATGTAATGTTGAATTAAATTTCAATGTTATAAGGACATTATATTTCGAAATTAAAGACGAAAATGAAAATAAAATTGATTATCGATGAAGTTTTGGAATCCCTATTTTTTTCGTAGGTATTTGCGGTGAATTTGTGGCCTGGCGTTGAGGGCAAGTTCATGCGTTTTTGCTCTGGCGTTCAAAAGGTTAAAGAAAATGTTTTACGGTTTTACGTATGCCATCGACTGATTATTACTATTTAGGTACTGTCAATCTACCTCTATAGCAATAAAGTTGTATACTTTGGCCTGGTAAGCTGTCACTGCAGTCTGAGTACACCTGCAATATTCGAAACACCACAAATGCGTTGTAGGTTTCTGATCATTAATCAGTTTTGTAGTCACTGTCGTGCCCAAAATTTTGTGTTCCGTGCCATCAACGGCACGCGTGCCAATGGTCCTCAGAGCGGGTAGCCATGGCTAGTGTGTTGCCGGCCTTTTAAAAAGGAATATGCTCTTTCCTTGCTTGCAAACCGATAGCGTATATCTTGAACTAGGTATCTTATGATTGATGAAAATTAAAAAAAATTTAATAGGTCCGTCAGATAGATAATGAAAAAAATATTATGTCGTCAAAACAATAAAAAAATACGCGTGTAATATCTTGTATGAACAAGAAAACATAAATACCTATTACGGATTTAAGCTTAGGAGGTCGCTACGTCACCGCTATTTTATTGAAATGAAATGAAATCGGTTATTCGTAAACATATTATTATGTAGGTTATATAAAGTTGTTTGAATGATTTACATACAGTGCAATACAGCGAGTCCGTCTGTTTTGCCTTGAAGCATATAAATTCATATAAGTATTAGTAAACAGATTTATATACATTTCACTACTGCTGCGTCATTGGCCGAATGGTCACAAGTGCGACTGCCGCGCAAGGGGTCTCGGGTTCGATTACCGGGTCGGGCAAAGTATTACTGGGTTTTTTCAAAGAAAAATCACAGTAGTAGCACGGAGTCTGGAATTGTGCCCGGTATATAGCAATAGGCTCACCCCTATTACATGGGACTCATAACATAAATAGTGAAAAGTGGGTGTTACATTGTACAGTAGCATAATGTATACCTCTGCCTACCCCTTCGACGATAAAAGGCGCGATGTAATATACATACATTATTGTGTATATAGATTAGGTAATTGGATGCTTTCCTTAATCAAAAGTAAAAGATTTCGACTATTCAATACAATAAAATATTAAAAAATAATCACACTTTCAGCATTTTTTTTTCATTTAGCTTCGATTTTATTTCCAGCATTTTTTTTAAGAGCTAACTATGTATGTTTAAAAAAACGTGACGTCACAATACACAATCTCGTACAAAATTCATAGAAAACTGTTATGTCGTTTTTGACAGTTCGAAAAAAGTATTGAATTTGGCTAGTTGGCAAGTACCCAATTATATTGTGTACTGCAATCCGTATCAATTAGAGGACTTTAAGCAGTTGCTATGGCCTCATTTCGCCTTAACTACCAAAAAAAAAAAAATTAAAAAGTAAAATAATTTTCATTTTAACTATTTTCAGGCAAGGACTACTTGGAGAGGACTTTGATATCGTGCAAGGGTTCCGTGGAGAAGGCGAAGAAGCAAATAGACAGGTTGTGCACATTCAAGACGTTGATACCTCGATTCTTCACATGTACTGACGCAAGGGATTTGTCATACGTGTCTGAATATGCGTAAGTAGAAAACTGACATTTTATTTTTTTAACATAAAAATATGCTTACATACATAACATCACGCCTTTTATCCCCGAAGGGGCAGGCAGAGGTGCACATTATGCCACTGCACAATGTAACACCCACTTTTCACTATTTATGTAATGAGTCCCATGTAATAGGGGGTGAGCCTATTGCCATATACCGGGCACAATTCCAGACTCCGTGCTACTACTGAGATTTTTTTAAAAACCCAGTAATACTTTGCCCGACCCAGGAATCGAACCCGAGACCCCTTGCCCGGCAGTCACACTTGCGACCTCTCGGCCAACGAGGCAGTCAGTAAAAATATGTGTTCATTATTATTATTTTTAAATGTCGCTCCCTCACTATAATTTCCTCCTGTACCATGGGTGCGTGTACAAACATACAAGTTCACATACACGTGACACCCAGACCCGGTACAACAATCTGTGGATCGATAGAGTGCCAAGCACGAATAACTATCGCATTCGTAAAGTAATAGTATCGAGCGCGTTCGGCGCTTGATTGGACAGCGTAAGTGAACCAACCAATGAGAACGCTTAACTCGCTCGATACTGTTACGATACAAATGCGATAGTTATTCGTGCTTGGCCCTCTGTGCTGGAATCGAAACCGCGACACGTTACACGGCAGTCAGTTGTCCTACCACCGCGACATTCTTACGTTCTAGATACAGAGGCCTTAGTTTGTTTTACCATTAAAGTATTCGAAACGAGAACGCGTTCGGCGCACTGATTGGCCGGCGCACTTGAAGCAACCAATCAGAGCTCCGAACGCGTACTCGTTACGATTACTTTAAACGTAAAATAAACTCGTACTAAGTCCTCAGTATAGTAGTCATAGAATAGGTACTTTCTCAAGTTGCCATAGATAAAAAAGTTTTTTTTGATGTTCCAACCAATGATATTATAAATAATAAAAAGAGGTAGATATCGCACTGGCACGCAAAAATTGTTGTGAACGAATTCAGACAATTGTCGTAATTTTATAATAGCTATCTATTTCTGTACCATACTTTCCGTATTATCAGTCGCACGTAGTTGAAAATGACATTTAAGTACATTTGTAATAAGAACGCAACAATTTTTGGACGCCGCTTAGTATGAACGTAGCGTATCTTCTTTATAATATTATTGGTTCCAACGCTATTATTATTCGCATCTTCGTATACTATTGCCCCAAAGGAGTAAATATCTGATTCTTATTTTTTATTTTTATTTATTAACACTTCTGTATAACAAACATACGATGGCGGACTTAATGCCGGGTGGCATTCTCTAACAGTCAACCATGGGGTGATGCAGAGATGTGCAACAGTAGGTGTAATAAGTATAATGGTTTTTGTGACACAGAAAAATCTATATAAATAAATTCATGATTACGCATAACTGTAAATACATACATATATCCGTATATATAGGTATAATATACTATATGATACTCCCACTCCTTCTCGCCCATTGAAGGCCAAGATGAATCATTTTGATTTTTTTTCTCCCTCATAAAAAACAGCAATACATATCTACAGATTTAGTGTTTTTTATGTGTAATAGAGTATTATGCGCCTGAGTTTAAATAAAATGCAATGAGTTTTCATTCAGAGTATTGCAAATAGCAAAATTTCATGTAATTGTTATATAAAAGTGCTTATTAATTAAGACTGTTAAGACTGCCTCGTTGGCCGCAAGTGTGACTGCCGGGCAAGGGGTCTCGGGTTCGATTCCCGGGTCGGGCAAAACATTACTGGGTTTTTTAAAAAAAATCTCAGTAGTAGCACGGAGTCTGGAAATGTGCCCGGTATATGGCAATAGGCTCACCCCCTATTATATGGGACTTATAACATAAATAGTGAAAAGTAATAAAGAAAAGTAGGTGTTACTTCTGTGTGCATCTTTGCCTACCCCTCCGGGGATAAAAAGGCGTGATGTTGTGTTATGTTATTATTAACGCAAAATAATAAATTTTTTTTTTTTTTCTTGCAGATCGATGATCGCATTACCGAAGTTAACACCAGATTTCTACAGAGTATTACTTATTAAGTTTAAATTCAAGCACCTCACCAGCGAGAATATCATTGATTATTTCCGATACAGTATCATTGTAAGTTCAACCTTTTGTTTTACGAAATAGAGTTCAATTTGTTTGTCGCAAAATAGTTATTGAATAGTTAAGAAAACGGTCACTTGAGGCGCTAGTGTCGATTAAAATCTAAGGACTATAATTAAAATAAAACAATTCGAATTTCAAATGACTGCTTGTTTTGAATACACTTTTGATTTATTCAATAAAGGATCTTGAGAATATTAAAATAAACAACATTTTTGCGTATATAGCTTCTGAAGAACATTTGCAATATGAACAGTCCGTGACAGACCTATTACTGGACTATTGCCGGAATACTGAAACGTTACTCAATTTTAAGTCGTGCTCAAATATCGTGCCATCTCTGTCATTTTACAAAGAATTTGTAGAGATAGAACTATACTTAAGCACGACTTAAAATTGAGTAGCGTTTCAGTATTCCGACATAAGTGTTTCATCTAACTAAAAGGGTCTGCTCTCCAATTTTTTTTGCGGAGCGAATATCATCCAATGACTTATCCCGCCTTGGGTTAGGCGAGAAGGAGTGTCAGACTCATACTGACTAAAAACCACCCCGTTCCTACTCCTTCTCTTCGAAACGGAGCCCTGGCAACCCGTTAGGCCTTCCGCGGCTCCGTATCGGGCATCGGCCTTACTGGGACTACAGAAGGGGTCTGTGGTGGTCTGATAGCTTTTTGAGCCGTACACATCGGTTTGGTTCTGGTCGAGCGGCGAGCTACCCTTGCTCACTGACCGCAGACCTGCACTTAAGGTGGCCGGAGATTGTCGCGTGATCTCCGACGCCAGGAGTGTCTCCCGCGACGGCTGGGACGTGAGGAAATTTGTTCCCTCACGCGCCCTGCCTCCTCCTTACTCTCCACACTTAGTAAGCGAATTTCAGATCACAGTTTTTAAGGTTCAGATTTTGTCAAAGAGCACTGATGTTCTGGTATCCTGTAGTCTATCGTCACGGCTTGCAAGTGGCTGATCATAATTATAATTTAATCATGATTATAATTTAATTGAGTATACGGCTGATAGAGTAAATTTTCAACACAAATAATAGTTTTATGACGTTAATATTAATTTATATAACTTGATGTTAATAATAATTTATTTTGTAATTAGGTGTATTATGTTCCATAATGTAGACAGAGAAGATTATTGTCTGTAAACACACTAGATTAAGAACATACTAAAAATTTTGTATGTCTGTACAGACACAATGTGGCGCACTACCATAATATTATCTACCATCTATTGTAACATACCTACATTGACGAAATAAATAATATTTGTATTTTGTATCATATTAATAACTAAACCATTTAATTACTCCAATATCGTTATGTATAATCTGTTTCAATTATTTTCAGGTGAGCGAATACATCAAAGCACATGATTATGTAAACGGTTTCATTATAATAGATGACTACAGAGAAACTAATCTACTGGATGCTGTGACTAAGCTAAACCCTGTAGACCTACAACAATACATGTCGATATTAATTGTAAGTAAAGTGAGGTTACCGGAGGCCCAATTACCCCCCCCCCCTGCATTTCCCCTGGCTTATCCCATAAAAAACATTGCTACTAACTTGTATGTTTCCGCCCGCCCGCTTCGTCTGACATCTTGCTATCAAATGCTCAAAGTCGAATCTATATGTTACATTACACGCAAATGCTCGTTAGTCAGGGAGGTATTATTGTAATGCAATGCTCAAATCCTATTACATGGGACTCATAACATAAATAGTGAAAAGCGGGTGTTATATTGTACAGTAGCATAATGTGCACCTCTGCCTACCACTTCGGGGATAAAAGGCGTGATGTTATGTTAATTACGTAATGGTCAAAGTCGAACGTATAATGTTACATTACACGTGAATGCTCTCGGTAAAGGAGCATCTATAAATAATGTCTTAATTAGATAATTTTTTGAGACGATATTTCCTTGTTAAGCATATATCTATCATAGCAAGCAGATATCTCTGTCAAGCAGAATAAAAGGCAATTAAATCGTCACAAATAGCAACAATGTAATTAAATAACCAAGTAACTATGAATGATTACAGACATGGATGAATGACAGAGAAAATAATTTCTGAGAAATGAAACTGTAACAATGGATTAATGTAATTTCCTGGATAACTAATTATAAAAAGTCGACATACTTTAACTAGCCTTCATCAATTGTCCTTTATGTAATTAAAAGTGATATAAATAGCTTTTAAACCACCTCATTTGGTCTGGTAATCACAAGAATGACTGCTATTTAATAACATGCCTTTTATCCCCGAAGGGATAGGCAGAGGTGCACATTACGGCATTTAATGCCACTGTACAATGTAACACCCACTTTTCACTATTTATGTTATGAGTCCCATGTAATAGGGGGTGAGCCTATTGGCATATAGCGGACACATTTCCATATTTTAATAGGTCTCAAAAAACATAACATAATTATCATAAAAAAATCGTTGTTTACGTTTTTGAAATTGGTTAAGAATAACCATTTCTTCAATCTTTGGCATAGACTTCTACACGCAAAATATGCATAACAGAACTGCCAAACCTTTAGTTTCGTACCTAAATCCCATAACTGTTATTTGATCGTATGACGTATAGGCATCGACAAATGAACAGACGAATCGCTGTTGGTAAGCAATCATCACCGCCCATAAGCACCACTAGAACACCAAGACTAGAGGAATGACAACCGCCTTTTGGAGGCTAGGGATATTCCTCTTAAAATCCTAATAGGATTTACACCACCAACTGAAAATATAAATAGCATTAATTATTAATTAATATGTTTTCGGCTTACTCACGTAATTATTTGACTAGGAACAGTAACAGCGCGACAGTCGCCACGTCGCGAATATGAGCGTCTAGCATGGCTCGAAATTAGTCGAGTTCCTAGTATTGACGTCACGGTTGGTGGCAACTAGCTGCCGAGCAACGTGTCGCGGGTTCGACTCCCGCACGGACCAACTCTTTGTCATCCACAGATTGTTGTTCCGGGTCTGGGTGTCACGTGTATGTGAACTTGTATGTTTGTAAACGCACCTACAACACAAGAGAAAATCGAAATGTGGGGCAATGTTCAAAAATACGTGAATAAGCCGAAAACATAATAATTCATTAAATAATTATGTCTCACCAAAATTATAGATAACTAGCTACTTGCGCGCGGTTTCACTCGCTCTGCTCGGCGCCTATTAATCGTAGCGTGATGTTTTATAGCCTATAGCCTTCCTCGATAAATGGGCTATCCAACACAGAAAGAATTTTTCAAATCGGACCCGTAGTTTCGGAGATTAGCGCGTTCAAACAAACAAATAAACTCTTCCGCTTTATATAATAGTATAATAGTATTTTTTTTTTTTTTTTTTTTTTTAAGGGGGAAAATCATCGAATGACTGCTCCCGCCTGGGTGAGGCGGAAGGGAGTGTCAGACTCTTACTGACTAAAAACCACCCCGTTCCTTCTCCTGCACGTCGAGCCGGAGCCCCGGTTACCCGTTAGGTTCTCCGCGACTCCGAATCGGCATCGGCCCTATTGGGCCCCATCTGTGGTGGTCTGATGGCTCTTTGAGGCGCGCGCGGAACGCGACGCGCCGTACGCTCGGGTCTGTTTCTGGTCGGACGGGGAGCCACCCATGCTCGCCGTCCGCAGGCCCGCGCTTACGGTGGCCGGAGATCGTCCCGCGATCCCCGACGCCCGGTGGTCCTTCGCGATGGCTGGGTTGCGAGGAGGCAGCGCTTCGCTGCTCACGCGTCCCGCCTCCTCCTTAGCTAGCATGACTGCTTCGCAAAAGGAGGAGACGGCATCCCAGTCCCCCTCGCTCCGCATCATGGCCTGCACTAGGCCCGGACGCGAGAGGTCGCCATCGCCGATCACTTCCCTGAGGGCACGGCGGTGCTCAGCCCACGCAGGGCATTCCGCTACGGTGTGTTCCACCGTGTCCTCAGGGCGGTCCTCGCAGTGATGACACCCGGGCGTTTCCTCCCGCCCCATCAGACACAGGTACCTCCCGAAACTTCCGTGTCCGGTGAGGACCTGCGTCAGGCGGTAGGTGAGGACGCCGTAGCGTCTCTCAAGCCACTCCTCAAAGAGGGGACTTACCGCTGCAATGGCAGCGAGCCCAGCCCTCGGTTGCGACAGTCGTTGCTGCCATTCCGCCATGAGATCGCGCCGGAGCTCATCCCGCCACGCAAGTATAATAGTATAAGAATAAGATACAAACATTAATAATAACAAGCGCATCTTTCATTTCTTCCAGGAAGGCTTCGGTGCAAGAATGAAAAGCCTCCACCTCCTATCAGACTCGAAAGCAGTGGATTTGATCATAAAGCTGATGAAACAATTCGTCAGTGACAAGATTGCTAAGAGGACACACGTACAGAAATCTCTGGAGGACTTACATAAGTTTGTGCCGAAGGATATCTTGCCGATAGAGTATGGAGGCAGCGAGAGGTCTATTGCTCTGATACGTAGTAAGAACCATTTCTATTTTATTTAGGCACGACGTGCTCCATCTTATTACCCCCAGGTGAGATAGTGGTCTAACTTCGACCCATCAAATATATACAGGTGTACTTGAAAGTACATTGGTACTTGCCATTGGTAGGTTTCGTACCTACACCCTCATCCATGAGACCGGACGTCTTAACCTTCGGGCCACCACGACACACATTTACATGTCAATCTTTAAATTATTAGATGGTCCAGTTATTCCATTAGCAAGGCTTAACTGCCTATAATGCATTAATTGGTATTTTATAATTACAGACGATCTAGTAGAAGCAATCACTTCGAAAAAACACATAGAATACATGGAGATGATGAACAAGGCGTGTACTGACGAGTCCAAACGAGTGGCTTCGAAGTTCAACGAGGAATATCTGGGCATGCCTGGATCTTTCAGAAATATGAGCGTAGATTAGTCTTAAAATTTTAGTGTGTATCATAAAAATAAGATTGATAAGAATCCTAATGTGAGACAAGACGTAGGGTATTTACTATTGTAATTTTAAGTTTTTGATAATATTATATTATTTAACGAACATGTGAGTTCGAAATCTTGTATGTACTTAATATTATAATTAAATAAAATACATAGTGACGGGTTTTGAAAATAAAGTATTTTATTTAGATATAACGTTTTTTTTTTTCATGGCATAAGCCGGTAAACGTGCAGACGGATCACCTGATGGTAAGCAATCGGCGTCGCCCATGGACACCTGGAACACCAAAGGCATTACAAATGCGTTACTGGCCTTTTGGGGATTAGGAGTTTGAGGATCGTTGGGGATTCAGGAATTGGGGAGATTGGGGAAGGGCAGGGTAATTGGGCCTCCGGTAACCTCACTCACACGACGAAACACAACGCAAGCGTTGCTTTACGTCAGTTTTCTGTGAGGCCGAGGTATCACTCCGGTCGAGCCGGCCCATTCGTGCCGAAGCATGGCTCTCCCACACTTAAACATTGGCATGTCATGCCATAAAAAAAATAACGTGTTTCAATTAGGTAGTTCTGAGAGAAGAAATATCATGAAGAAAATGGCATTAAGTCCACCTTATGTACCTACCTTATTTTTGTATGCATTAAGGGCTCTTACACAAAACTGCGCAACACATGAAATTATCGTATACTTTGTAAAGTAATGGTTTCAAAACAAAGTTAAAAGCAATTAGTTTCATAATTATTAACAGATGCTAGTTATGTGTTTAAATGATATCATACGCTATAAAAGCCCCAGGAGGTAAACCAGGTGCACCAATTAAAATGCAACTATTAGAAGTCATCTTATACCTACTGTTTTGCGTGCGACGCGTCGCGTTCCGCGCGCTCCTAAGAAAGCCATTAGACCACCACAGATGGGGCCCAATAGGGCCGATACCGATACGGAGCCGAGAAAAACTTAACAGGTTACGGGGGCTCTGGCTTGAAGTGCAGTAATAGGAACGAGGTGGTTTTTTATGAGTAAGAGTCTGACACTCTCTGAGGAGTCGTTCGATGATTTTCCACCCACGCTGATTGCTTACCATCAGGTCGTCCGTCTCCTTGTTTGCTTCTTCATTCCAAATAAAATACTCTGATTCAAGACTTCTTGTTTGGCAATGACACATGTGACCACCTGATCAAAATGTTGGCCAAGTGATGCATCACAATAATATACAAGCAACGATTTCTTGTTTTGTCCATTTTTGAGCCACGAACGACCTTGACTGACTTTGCGGTCAAACAAGCACTTTTTCTTTTGAATCTTTTTCTTTAAAAATATTTTTATTTTTGTCTTATACTTACTGTACGAGCTGTTTGCCCGTACACAGAAATGTGTTTGTTGTGTGTAGTCTGTTGTCAACGAAGACGGGATGTTCACAGAAATAAAATTACTGTTTTTGTATCCGTTCTCGAAGAGAGTATTTATTGTACTACATTAGTTAATTAGTGTGGCTATAAATAACATAAATTTGTTAGTAGGTTGCGTCATGAATGCGCCAATAACGCGCATTCGGCAAAATGTTAGTATAGCAGAATAAGTTAAAAAGTAAAACAATTGAAATCATGTGGCGATGCTCGTACATCCTACCAACCACAAAAAATAAAGAAATTAACCTTTACACTTATAAATTATACAAATCAAAAGTAAGATAAATAACTTAAACTGATTATTGTTCCCCGCTGAATGGGATAGGAGATGTTCCATTGTCAATCCTGTTGATGATTCTGGGACATGCCTGAAGTCGGGGTCCAGTGATTTGATTTGTTGTCGGTTCGTTTCCTTCCGGTCTCGAGATCTTGGAGTCTTCCACAGTTACCATCTCAATATCTTCCTTGTGTCTTGAAGGGCGGACCTTGGTTGTTGAATTTTGACAGACACAAATTCTTTTCACCTTGTAGACTGCCCATATGCAGAAAACAATTCCACATATTGAAATAAAACCATAGAGTACGTAATGATGTTGTTCTGCATCTGTTGATTTTATGGTTTGTATACTCTGTTGTTCCTTGATCTGTTCTATTTTTCTCTTTATATTGTTAAATTGTTCTTCGTGTGTCTCGATCTTGAAGTCCGTGTAGTTTCCAATGTTGTTGTTACTAGTAAGTAAATAATTTATGTTTGTTTCTGGTATATAGATGTCTTCCTCATTTCCTATTTCCAACGTACTTTGCAGATTGTAGTGTGAGTGAATCAGATGGTTGTCACCGCGCATCATGCATCCTGTCGCTAAGGTGATCATTCCTGTGTTACGTAGAGTCTGTGACGTAATCCCAGCTGGACAAAAAATGCGCATAGTGCATTCCTCGCAACACGTGTACAGCCAAGCGTCCTTGCTGTGTAGCTTAAACCATTTATTAGTGCAACTTGATACCTCTGTGTGACAACTGGATACTCCACGATTGTTTATAATGTCCGCTTCGCATATGTTTGTTGTTGTTTTTATTTCATATATGGGTAAATCAAAGTTACATAACAGCTGATACGTGTTATCTTCTATGCATGATTGTATTTGATGTTCATTTAAAGGTATCATCAGATCCTTTTTTAAATTTACAGCTATGTATTTCGTAGTTGGCATTATGTTGATCATTGAAGCTCCCTTTATGTTGTAAATTGGTATAACTTCCGTTAATTCGTATTGTTCGTCTGTTATTAAGGGGATTTTGACTTCAAAAATAAGGAAGTTATCGATTAGTTTTCCATGAACTCTAGATAATTTGTACAACCGTCTGATGCATTTAAGATTGTTAGTGCAGGGTAGTGATAATCCTTTAGGCACTTGTGCTGATATAATATTGAGCTCCCTTTCAAACGCATCAGGTTTTAACAAGTGTGTGTCGACTCGTCCGTTGCGAAGATCTGTAACCAGGTCCATCAGAGTGTCTTGTATTCTTCGTAAGTTTGCAACCATCATATTCGCAGCAAGTGCAGTTGCAGTAATGAATGTTAAATGATCTTGTTCAGTTTTGAGTCGGTTTACTGATTCACTTAATCGTTTGTTGATAAGTATGAATTGTCTATTCATTACTTGTTCGTTTCGTTTTAGCAGATTGTATTCTCCTTCAATGACCGAAGTATGGTTTTTGAACAGAGTCAGTAGGTGATCTTCATTGCTCTGAATCAACTTAATGTCTTCATGGTATTTTTCGGCGAATTTGTCATCTAAGACACCGAAGAGGTAACTAGCAGCGTTACCAATTCCATTTATGAGGCCTCGCCTGTTACGTTTTCCATGTTCAGATAACAGCACTGTATGGTAATGTCGCAGTTCGTTTAGTTCGTGCTCAAATTGTGTGGAGATAGCAAAATAGGCCAAATTTTTGTGATCAAATGATTGCAGTTGCTTAACATACTGTTCTACAGCAGATACACTTGTCCAGTACGTTGACATGTTGTAATAAATCACCAGTTTCCATTCATCTTGTATTATTTGTAAGTCTGCGATTTTGTCAAAGTATAGCAGACGAGATGGATCGAGAGATGTAACGTTAACTGATTGCTGTGCGGATGGTGTGACACAAATAATCATGAAAAGTAGCAACGAACTCAAGCAACTCATGACGACACCTTTCTTTGGTATCGAAGATTTCTGTCGACGTCGAAGCGGTCGTGACATCTCCTTTTGTTTATTGATGGTATCCTGTATCGGCGTGTCCTGTGTTTGACTCTTTGTGTCAATGGGAAGTCGAGATACCTTTGTTATAGGTCTTTTTATAATGTTAGTTTTCGTTTTCACTGTGACGACTCGTACTAAGTCGTCAGCTCCAGGATGTGTTTCTATTACACGTCCAAGTAACCATCTGGCGGGCGGCGCATGTTCTTCTTTGATAAGGACAACATCACCCACTGCGATGTTTTGTGTAGGAGTTTGCCATTTTCCTCTCAACTGTAATGTTTGTAGATAGTCGTTTGACCATTTCTTCCAGAACCCTTTAAACATGTTTTCTGTGAGACGCCATCGTATAGTGAGGCTGGTGTTATCAATTTCTGTCGGCACAGGAGGGGCGAGAACCGGACCGCCGACTAAAAAGTGTCCAGGTGACAAATAATCGATGTCGTCGGCATCATTTGTTAAAGCGACGAGTGGTCTTGAGTTGAGGCAGGCTTCTATCTGTACCAGCAAAGTGGTGAACTCTTCGTATGTTAACTTTTGTTCACCAAGAACACGTTTAAGATGGTGTTTCATGCTCTTTACTGCAGCTTCCCAGAGACCCCCCGCTGTTGGCCAGCTTGGGGCATTAAAATGCCATTCAATTCCATACTCGGAAATGTTGTTGAAGAGGTCGTCGTTTACTATAAGTTGAAGTGCCTGTTGGCGTTCCTTTGCTAGTGCCTTTGCTGCGCCGACAAAGTTTGTTCCATTGTCGCTATAGACATGTTTCGGAGTCCCACGCCGAGCACACAGTCGTTTCAAGGCTGCTAGAAATGTAGTGGTACTAAGATCAGACACCAACTCAAGATGTATAGCCTTGGTACACACAAATAAAAATAGCGATGTATGCTTTAACTGTTTTTATGCCTCGTCCTTTATTGGCTTTTATTTCCACCTGTCCAGTGAAATCTACACCTGTATGTGTGAATGGCCGCGACGGTGTAACTCGAGGCGCCGGTAGGTCAGCCATCAGCTGACTGCTGCGTTGTGTTTTGTAGCGGTGGCACGTGACACATTTGTTTAATTGTGACTTGATTGTTTTCATGCCGCCGAGAATCCAATACTTATTTCGGATGTATCCCAAAGTTAGCCTAGCACCGCCATGAAGGGTACTTTTATGGGCTTCGTCAATTACTAGTTGAGATAACTTGTGGTTGTTTGGTAAAATAATAGGATGTTTTTTAGATTGGATAAGTCGAATTTGCAAGCCGACCCCCCACTCGAAGAATACCGTGTTCATCTACTATCGGGTTCAAGCTCAATAGTTTACTCGTGGTTCGTGGCT